CGGAGCCCTTTACATGTGTAAAAATGTATGCGGAGCCCCAGCGGTCCACTGATTGTATGTGTTGTACCTATCAATGTAAATCAGCATTTCCTAGGGCTTCACAAGGGTATTCTAGGGGGTTCACTGGTCCTGCTGATCAACTCCTGTCCCTCCCGTCCTCCCTCCCAGTTCATCCTGGACACCAGGGAAAAGCTGTTTCGTGCCATGCAAGAGGTGCTGGAAAGGTGGTGAAGGAGTGAGGATGTGGTGCATTTCGGGGAGGGGATAGAAAGAGATGGAGAAGAGAAGGAACAGGGGTGGAATGAGGGGCAGGAGGAGGTGGGGTGGAGCCTTGGGTGGAAGGGATGGAGTGAGGGCAGGGCCTGAGCCAAGGAAGGAGTTTGGGGATCCACAAAACATTTAAATCAGAATGGAAGTCCTTGAGTTGCTAAAGTTTGAGAACTGCTGGCTTAAGCCAATGTAGATTTTAATTGAGCATTCTCCATATCTTCCTATAGCATCACTTTCTGATGCCCCCATTAATTAATTCTAAACTTCTCCCCAGATGAGGTGATGTTAATATATACATATCATGCTCTTCCAACACGAATGTGATATGGGGCACCACAACGGAGAGGTCGGGGGCCCTTTCCCCACCACTTTTATTGGCTGTAAGGGCAGGTGATGAGGGGATGGGGTAGAGAGGAGTGATTGGGGGGCAGTGTGGGGGCTCAAGGAGAAGGAGCAGCATAGGGCTTCGGCTTAGGATAAGGGTTAGAGTGGGGGAAGGGCCCACAGTTTGGGCGAGCATAGCAAGCAGAGGGGTGCAGCTCCCCTCTCTTGTTTTAGGAAGCTTTCACAATTCCTGAGTATTGTGCACCATACTGATATCTTCCACTAAGTATCAGCACTGAGCTTGTATACCTCTTTAAACATAGTTATTTGAGGGAGTATAAAATCAACAACTTCAATACAGGCAGTCCCTGGGTTACATGGATCCAACTTACATCGGATCCCTACTTACAAATGGGGTGAGGCAACCCCGCACTAGCTGCTTCCCCCCAGCAAACCAGGGAGACGCAAAGCTAGTGCCCCCCACCCCAGCAGACTAGGGAGACGCGGAGCGGCTTTTCTCAGCAGACACCTCAGCTTGAGAATAAAGGACTGAGGGAAGTAAGGTGTGGGAGAATAAAACTGAGCTCTGGAGAAATGTTTGGCTAGAGTTTCCCCTACAATATGTACCAGTTCCGACTTACATACAAATTCAACTTAAGAACAAACCTACAGTCCCTATCTTGTACGTAACCCGGGGACTGCCTGTATATATCTAGAGTAGAGTCATGTCCCTTCAGATTAGCTGGAAATTAATTTGTGTTTAAAAAGACCTTCTGTGGGCTGAGTTTCATGTCATTTAACATCTGAAAATGATCCCAGGTCATTGCAGTTGTAATGCATGTATCCAAGAAGTCAGTGCAAAAGAGAGGTGATCAACAACATCTTATACAGAGGTTACAAAGACTTGGGACTTACAAAACTGGAGGGACAGATGCTTATTTTTTTCTGCTGAGATGAGCTGTAGGTGCTCTTGCAATTTGAAAGCAAGCTCATGTACATGTGGACCACATTCTGGCTTCTAACTAGAAGGGCAAAAAGGTTGAGAGGCTGTGGGATAATTGTGTTGTAACATCTCCAGCTGGAGGGTTTTAGAAGATTTGGGAGGATTGTTATGCTGATTCTGAGAAATGTGGCACACACTTGTAAATCAGGCCACAAGGTCCCCTTAAAGAAGAGGTTGTATCAGGCAGTCAGTGCTGCAATGCAAGCCTGCATAAATAGAGCAAAGGATGAATGAAGAGCTATTATTCCCTTGTTACGTAAGGGGATACAAGGCACAGAGAGACAGAGACTCAGATCCTCAAAGCAGTGCTTAACTCCCATTCATTTCAATGGAAGTTAGGTGCCTCCCTTTAAGAATCAGGGCCTAAGTGACTTGCCCTAATTCACAGGGAGTCTATGGGAGAGCAGAGGATTGAATTCAATACCAAGGCTACTGCCCTAACCACTGGGCTATCCTGTCTTCCCAACTTAACTATGCAGTTATACTGAAAATTGTAAGGATTGTTTGTAAAGGATGTCTGGGGTCTACACTGCAGTAAAAACATCTGCGGTACTGAGTCCCAGAGACATTTTTGGTATATAGACATTTGGGCTTAGGCTCTGAGACCCACCTCCATTGTGGGATTTCATAGCTTGGACTTCAGCCTGAGCTTGAATGCTGCAATGTTTAACCCCACAACCTGAGCCATGTCAGCCGAGAAAGGCTGATCCAGGCCATCTGCATCAGTGCAAGCCTTTTACTGCAGTGTGGACCTACCTTAAAAGCCCCAGTGCTGAACTTGCCAGTACTTTCTGGAGAACACTGAGGCCCAGTGATGAAGTTAAGAGATGTTTAATGACTTCTTTGTTTCTGTCTTCACCAAGAAGCTTGATGACAAAGGGATGCCTAACATAGTGAATGCTAGTGGAAATGGGGTAGGGTTACAAGTTAAAATAAAAGTGGAAATGGGGTAGGAGAGATACCAGAAGATTGGAAAAGGGCATACATAGTGCCCATCTATAAAAAGGGAAATAAGAACAACCCAGGAAACTACAGACCAGTCAGTTTATCTTCTGTGCCAGGGAAGATAATGGAACAAGTAATTAAGGAATTAATCCGCAAACATCTGGAAGAAAATAAGGTGATAGGTAACAGCCAGCATAGATTTGTAAAATACAAATCATGTCAAAGCCATCAGATTGGTTTCTTTGATAGGATAACAAGTCTTGTGGATAAGGAAGAAGTGGTGAATGTGGTATACCTAGACTTTAGTAAGGCATTTGATACAATCTCATATGATCTTCTAATCAATAAACTAGGCAAATACAACCTAGATGGGGCTATTTTAAGATGGGTGCATAACTGGCTGGATAATTGTACTCAGAGAGTAATTATTAATGGTTCACAGTCATGCTGGAAGAGCATAACAAGTGGGGTTCTTTAGGGGTCTCTTTTGGGACTGGTTCTGTTCAATATGTTTATCAATGATTTAGGTGATGGCATACAGAGTATGGTTATTAAGTTTGCAGATGATACCTAGCTGGGAGGGGTTGCTAGTGCTTTGGAGGATAGGGTCATAATTCAAAATGCTCTGGACAAACTAGAGAAATGGTCTGAGATAAATATGGTGAAGTTTAATAAGGACAAAAGCAAAGTACTCCACTTAGAAAGAAACCATCCGTTTCACACACACAGAATGGGAAGTGATTGTCTAGGAAGGAGTACTGCAGAAAGGGATTTAGGGGTCATAGTGGGCTACAAGTTAAATATGAGTCAACAGAGTTGCAAAAAAAGCAAATATGATTTTTGGACTGTTGTGAGCAAAACATAAGAAATCATTCTTCCACAGTACTCTACTCTGATTAGGCCTTAGTTGGAGTTTTGTGACCAGTTCTGGGTACCATATTTCAAGAAATATGTGGAGAAATTGGAGAAGGTCTAAAGAAGAGCAACAAAAATGATTAAAGGCCTAGAAAACATGAGCTATGAGGGAAGACTAAAAGAATTGAGCTTGTTTAGTTTAAAAAAGAGAAGTCTGAGAGGACACATGATGGCCGATCTCTAATATCTAAAAGGGTGTTACAAGGAGGAGGGAGAAAAATTGTTCTCCTTGGCCTCTGAGGATAAGACAAGAAGCAATGGGCTTAAATTGCAGCAAGGGAAGTTTAGGTTGGACATTAGGTAAACTTCCTAACTGTACGGGTGGTTAAATGCTGGAATAAATTGCCTAGGGAGGTTGGTGGATCTCCATAACTGGAGATATTTAAGAGCAAGTTGGATAGACATCTATCAAGGATGGTCTAGACAGTGCTTGGTCCTGCCGTTGTGGGCAGGGGACTGGACTTGGCCTCTTGAGGTCCCTTCCAGTTCTAGTATTCAATGATCCTCCTTGTTGGGGAATATTTTCTGGATTCTGATTACCATCTTTTTGTTTTGTTACAAAACGCTCATCACTCTGTAACCAATACCGTTCGATCTGTAAGCATTTGGACGTTGTCTGTCTGTCTCTCTCTCTCTCTCACACACACACACACACAGTCCAGCCAGTTGTGGGGCTCTGGGCCAGAGCAAGTGGAGGCCTTTCCCCATCTGTTCTGCCTGCAGACCGCTCTCCTCCCATTTGGCACTCCTGTGAAGAATATAGAGTAGGGACATGGAGACTTGCCCTGTCCCCCTACTCAGTGCTCCTGCCAGGGAGTAGGGTTGAGGTGCAGGGATTTGCCCCACTCTATCCATATAGCACTTCTGCCAGAGAGGGGGATTGGGGCTTGTCTAGTTGGCTGGGGCCTCTAGCATAGGCCTCATTGGCCCAGTTGCTGCCACTTTGTCCAGCACAATCTTGATTGGGGCCTTCTGGCACAATGAGTTACAAGTATTTTAAAAATAGAGGAACAACAAAATTTGACTTCTTTCAAGCAAAGTAGCTGTCTCAAAGAGAGCACAAGGTAACTGTAATATACCCTAGTACACTAGTGCCTTGAATGTTCTTGATGACGCTGATAAAATCAAGGAGGACATAACAGAAAGACAGCTGGGCGTAGTTCAACATCATAAGATCACACAAGTCAAAGTAAAGGCAAGTATTGTTAAAGAAAAACGTTTTCAGTTTTCTCTATGTGTAATCATAACATTGGGACAGTTATTTTTTGGAAATATATTTCACAGGATCTGTTTCAAGACTCTTTAGACACCTGTTAACAGCCCCTTTTGCTTTCTGAATTGGAGTTACCAGTTTTACATGCTTAGCCTGAGAATGTTTTTGTTCAATTTTCTTTCCACATGCCAATTTATAATTAAGAACTTTGCTAGACAATGACAAATTGCATCTGTTTGCTTACTACTAATGACATCTACTAAAATGGATTCGAAATTGCTTTCTGAAGAACTGCTTTCCCTATATATTGTTTTTTTTCTTGTGTGGCAGGCTGATGAATTCTGAGAACACACTATTACAAGCCAGAGAAGAGGAGGAAGTCAAGTATGAACGGACCTTTGTGGCATCTGAGTTTATTGAATGGCTGATCCAGGAAGGAGAAGTCACAGCAAGGACTGAGGCAGAACAACTTGGCCGTAGACTGTTGGAGCATGGTGTGAGGTCAGAGGGACTCTGGGTGGGGCAGGGAATTATACAGCACGGTGAGGAAGTTATTGCCTCGTAGCAAAAGTAATACTGTTTACAACACTTTTTTCCATGTAGGGTCATGTAAAGAGGTTGCAGATCATGAAGCTTCGCCCTAAAATATTGTTAATTCTAACTCTTATCCAAATGATAGATGGCTGTATAATTATTGAAAGGGTGGAATTTTCAAAAGCACTCAAAAACCACTAGTAACAAATCAGCAATGAATACAAGGTAACTATTTTTGGGGAGGATAATGAAACAGTAGAAGTCATTGCCATATGATGTAATTGAGGTAATAGCTTAGTAAGGGTCAAAGGTGATTAGAGCAATAAATAAGGAGAATTATATTAGCTAGAATGGAAATTACAAGTATAGCTCTTCTGCTAGTAGTAGTGGACAGGAAAAAGGGCCAGGTTCAATATTTAAGAGGTTCTTTTCAATAATATAACCAAACTGGTTCAAGTCCCCACCTAGCAACCTGGGAACATTTTACTCTACCCATTGGCAAGGCAATTCTTTTAAGGCTGTTCTGCCCCTCTCGCAAGCACAGGATCTAAGATAGAAAGAGTTTGTTTCTTTATAAATACTGTGTGTGTTGTTATTCTTAGATTAATGCTAGATTACTTTTAGTAAACAAACAAACCCACGAGCAAACACTTTCCCCAGAGCCTGCTGGGGAGTGTCCTTTGCTTCAATTTCTTGAGTCCAATACCCCAATTCTCGTGGCATGCTTCTCCCTCTTAATGCCCCACTCAAAGTTATGTCTGGTCAGTGCAGACCCAGAGTTCATAGGTACCTTTGCATGAAGTCTTCTTTGATTATACATGGGACGGAGGGTAATATCACCACGCTCACTGATCCAGCCAGTCTTCCTGCTGGCTGCCCATTGACTGCTCCTGCTGGTCACTTTACTGGCCACCCACTCACTGACTTCCTGCTAGCCATCTGATTGCTGCTCCCATCAGCCATCCCATAGGGTTGTTTCTTAGTGATTTTTTGATCTGGGCAGATATCCAGTCCTGCTACAAGTGATTTCAGTTCACAGTGATTTTAGCACTTGGACCCAAACACAGTCTTGAACAAAAATTTCAGCCCCAATGAAGCAATTTAAAAATAAAAAGAGGCTCCTAATGGAGCCTGTTTAGCTCTATTCTTGGAACAGTGGGGAGAAACAGGTTGAACCAGCCTTGCAGCAGACCCTTAAGGGCATGTAGCCTGCTGGTTGGGAATCCCGCCCTTCCCTCATACCCTCACAGAATTCAGAAATTCGAGCTCTTACCCATCTGAGGTTGTTGAAACTGACAGGGTTTACCTCCTTTGGGACAGGTTAAGCACAGTCTTTCTTTTATGTATTCCCACAATAATTACAAGCATTGGTAACCATATTTCACAATTCCTGCACATAGTTTTGACATAATTTGTGACCCAACAGCAGCCAGATTGATTACAATGAGCAAAGCACCACTCCATCAGCTGACTATCTAGCAAATCTAAGCAAAACAAGAGCAAACTGTATTTACATGCATGTGCCAAGCCTCTATAAATGGTGAATGTCTCCCTCCTTTGGGACAGGTTAAGCACAGTTTTTCTTTTCTGTATTCCCACAATAATTATAGTCATTGCATTTAGTACTAACAAAATTTGTTACCCAGCACCAGCCAAGTTGATTACAATGAGCAAAGCACAGCTCTATCAGCTGAGTATCGAGGACATTTAAGCAAGACAGGAGCAAACTGTATATACATAAACACACCCAGAGTCTCTTCCTTTTTTCCCAGCTAGCTCTCAGGGAAGCATTTATGCAGACAGTGTTTACACAAGCTTTATAAATCCTCACACTTTAAGACATGAGAAGACCTTAATGCCGTACCAGAAAAGAATGTCCTAAGCATGTCTTCTTGCACAACTGGCCAGGTCTGTTTGGAAAAAAAATGGTGAAATCACTTTCACCTGGAACATTTTTACTGTTAGTCCTGCACTGTAAGGATTGTAAGGAATCCCTTCGAGGAAGGGATTTAGCATCTGTTCAGTGCCCAGCAAACTGGGCCCCCAGGGTACTATAGGCACAACATAACTTACTTCAATAAGGATAAAGCTCACCGATTCAGGTGACTACAGATTTCTTGGGGGAGCCAGCCCAAGACCATGGAATGAATTCCCCTAGGAACTAAGAGCCATCACAAACCTCACTATCTTCTGTTCTAAGTGCGAGGTGCACCTCTTTGACCTTACTTTCTCTAACAAACATATACCAACATGTGTTTGCATGTGTAAATATTTTTTAGAATAGTAAATCTAGACCATTTCACACTGTATTCATTTCTCCCCTTGGAGAGAGGATGAGAGTCCAGAGAAGTGACCTGTTAGTCATGTTGTTTGGTAGACCTACCTGTGTACGCTGCCTGGATACGAATTTTTGGTCCAATCATCTAGGATTTCTCTTTGAGATTCTAGAGACAGTGAATTCCTCCACACCCATCTAGTCTGTTTCTCATTTTATACCTCATCCATCTGTCTCCAGTGAGCTAAAGGGTGCCAAAAACACAATCTACCCTGTGAGTCTATTGTTGAAACCCATGAACCTTTTAGTGATCTCTTAAGGGCATTGAAAATCGGTGGCTGAACAGGGCTGGTTATTTAATAAAACTAGACCAGAGTTGTACCCAATATAAAAGAAATACTAAACTCCTTATTCACCTTTATTTGACAAAGGTTAATTCCATTAACGTCTTAGAGATTTTGTTTGCATAAAGATGGAATAAAAATGGAATCAGGACCTTGGGATTTAGCACTGTATTTGGGAATATTTTGGGTAGTCTTTTAAAACAACAGATTATTTCATAAGTGTATTTTGTCCTACTGGTTTCAGTAAAGCAGTTTGTTTGGATATGGTTAGACATTATTTGGTAAAAGAATGTGTGATTACTGATTTATCTGTAGCAAGTGGGTATATCTATAGACTTACTGAGATGGTACAGTTTTGTTTTCCTTAAATAACAGAGCTAGGAGAATGGAGAGGTTTTCTTTAGAAAATGTTAGACTCAAACTGTAACAGTCAGTATGTGGTATTCCATTTGTTCCCCCTTACTGAATTCTAGGTCAAATGCACTCCATTTACCAATAAAAAACAGTATTTTTCCCCACTGCCAGCATAGTGAGTTCATTCTAGAATCTGAACACCAAACTATGTTCCTGCTCGTTCCTTTGATATCAGCTATAAAGTTTCATTTTACATTAATTGACATCCTTGTTGACAGTACAAGTGGAAAGAACATGGATGGAATAAAAATGGAGAATGAAATTCCTTCTTTTCCTAAAGGTGATCTCTAGCAAATAATATTGTTGAATATGCATGAAGGAGAAAAAAATACACTTTGCTCTTCTATTTTTATTTATTATAATATTATCACTACAATTCCACATCTAATAGATCTAGTCTTTATTTAGATACTAGATTAATAGCAATTTTCCATTTATAACTAAATAGTTATTTATTGATACCTGTTCTCATTTCAGTGACTACAGAAAAATATTTTGCAGCTGAGGCAGTCTCTGACTCTTCTAATATTCTGAGCAGTTTGCCGTCATGTTTGTCTTCATTTTAATCAGACCGCCTCAAACCTAATTTTACCCAGAAAGCTTGTAACTCTGCTTAATTTAAAAAGGAAAACTAGATGATTAAAATGAATTATGCAAATGCTGTAGGAAAGGTGAAATGTTTCAACTTCAGAAGTGTTGTACTATAAACAGTTGATAGACAACTTGTGGTAAATTTTCTAAAGGATCTCAGTCTGACCTCCCTTTATGCATGCACAACTTCTCATATACTATGATTGACTTTGCAACTAGCCTTTTTGACATCTAAAGGATTTGTATGAGCAAAAGTGGTTTCATATGAGTATTCTAATATGTTGTGCATTCAAGTCATGGTTCACAAAAATTGTGAGCCCTAATAAAAGTCATAGCCTGAAAATTGGTCCCTTTTTGTACTAGGGTACATCTCTTAACGCTTGAGTTGCCTCTGACAATTATCAGTATTTAGCCTGTCTTTGCAACTGCTGATTAAATTAATCAGACAGAGCAAAGATTCTAAAAAGGAGCGATAAGCATGTCTGTGCATGCATAGGACAAATGTTGCAGCTGTATAAAATTCCACTTCTTTAAGACGTCTAGACACATTGAATGTTTCAACATTCAGACATCAGAGGTTTTTTTACATTCAAGGGATCTGTCATATTTTATCTAGTGTTGGAAGCACTGTGACAGATTATCTGCAGTTGCTAAAATTCTCTTAATGCGGTGTGGCACAGAGCGGTAAGAGCAGGTACGAGGGAGCTAGTTACAGCTCTCCATTTGCCCTGTTCTGCAACAGCTTAGTGCATATTCCCCGGCTTCTCTAATCGAGGGGGTTCCAAACTTTTTTCCCGGAAGCCCCCCAGTGCAGATACTGCACCCCATTATTAACACTTCTTGAGGAATTTATTGCCTTCATATAAACTGTAACACTGTAAATAAACAATATGTTTTCTTTTCACTTCAATGTAAACAATTGTAATGATAGAAAACCTTAGCAATAGATACTCAAATAAATGCTTTTTTGAAACCAAGCAGTTTTAGTAAAGCACTTAAAACAAATATTGAGAGCAAAATGTGTTCAGACAGGGAAAGCACAATTGTGTATAAAATCGAACAATAAGCAATTCAGCGTTAGCAAAATTGTTAAAACACATTGAGTAATTTGATTTTAAAACAAAATAACTGTCCAACTTTGAACACTATATTATGTTTTCAATTTCTTTTCAGTGTCTTATTTGAATTTCTGTGCTGTGTAAATAAAGACCCAATCCTAGTCTCTGCTCATTAGAAAAAAATTAAATATTGTAAATAAAAATATAAAGTAACTTATAGGTCAGGAGTCTTTTTAATGGGGTGGATGTGCCTGCTTTTCCTTGCCCATGTTTTTCCTGCTGGGAACATATGTTAGTAGGGCTCAACCTGATCTCATATACAATTT